AAGTTTTCGATAGTGTATGTGACCAAAAAAACCCATCATTGACAATTTTCAACAAGATGTGTAAACACTAATAATACAAAGACATTTTCGTTAAAAAATGTTTTAAAAATTATTGTTTATCTATTGAAAATGTATTATTTTAGTGTACTATATAGTCTATATATATTAGTTCCCATCAGTTATCAACTTATCATACATATATATAACTTAAAAGTGAAGAATTAAACCCGGGAATCTAGTAAATGGAACATTGTAAAGTTCAACTCTGCCAACGATTTCCACACTAAATAGTAAATAATATATTATAAACATCTACGGGGCAAAATAGATAAATAAACTCAGTAAACAATTTACACTTTGAAACAAAAATGAAGAAGAAGCAACCATTGTTTTATGACCGTTTCTTTGTATTTATAAATATCTCTATATGATCACTGTTTCATACATGTCACGGACATAATCATATTGTTGATCATATATTCATATTTGGTTAGTTTTGATGCATTTATTTATTTCTTGAGTAACCAATAAGACAGAAAAATACTTAACACGTGGGCTTCTAGCAAGATTACTGTCTCTCATCGTCGTCCTTGTCCAAATTATAATAAATCTAAATACACGTATAGAAACATAATAAGTGACATAATTATCAGATATATTACTAAACGAATACTTTACGTATTGGATACTTTTGTTTTTATTCTAAACTTTGTCTCTCTATTCGTTCTTTCATTAAATTTATAAGCTCTAATCACTGAGAGTGACAATGATGAACCCCGTTAACTTTCTAAAGCCAATCAAATAAAATTTTCAAAAAGAAAATGGGATTGAATAAACCATTTCTTAAATTAAACCCAATGTTTTATTAGTCTTGACCCATTTTAGATTGAGTACAAGTTGTAAGTGGTGATCCATCCAAGAAATGAAGAAACTATTATTTACGAATATATCTGAATTTATAATATGGTACTCATTGTCATTGGAACTAAACTTATTTACTATATATGTAAGTAAAAAAAGAAAACACAATACGGTCCACACTCCACAATTGTACCCTCTTTACCAAATCAGATACCTAACACTAACCCTCTCTCTTACATATATAAAAATAAACCTCTTCGACTCTTAAACTCATATCTCTAATC